TTGCACAGAGAAACAGAATTGGAAAAGTTTGATTGAAAGATTAGTTAAACTTCTTTTGAAAAACTAATTTTAATTTGAATTTGTTGTTAATAAATTCAATTTAAATTTAATAAATAATTTAATTAAAATTCAATCGTTGTTTATTATTTATTATTAGATTGATATTTGAGATTTGTTTAATACGTATGGGATAAATAATTGGAAAAATAATGATTTTTTTTAATTAAATATCGTCGTGCAAAATATTAAGATATAAATAAAAAAGAGACGAAGAATTGGTACGAATATTCTTGGAGGAAAGTATAGTAGTGAAACGATTTTCTAATCGTGGAATTTAGAAAATAAAAAGAAAATAAAAAATCGTGGAATTACTAGAAAATAAAAAGAACAATGAAATAGTGGATTAAGAAATTTACAATGTTTATTGTGGCTTATTTGAAATTAGCATTTGCCATTCTCACATTTAATTAGAATATACATTGCTTCGTACATTTTTTTACCTTCTTTCACTCATTGTTATGATCGATATCAAAAAAGTAGGTTAACACAGAGATTGAATCGTCTTATTTATACGATTGTTTGAAAGTATATTAATTGATCATATTTACTTTCTTATTTTATTAATTCTTTCTATTTCTTGAAATTTTTTTACACTAACATTTTAAATTAGTTGCAATTATTCGCTAAATTATCAAACTTTATGATTTAAAGGAACCGTTTTATATTCATTCAAAAATTCCATCGAATTTACAATTTAAATTATAATCAATCGTGAGTTACAATCATCTAAAATTTATATTTAAAAATCCAAAGAAAAAATGATAAAAGTAACAAAAATTTTAATCTAAAAGAAACTAAAACAGATATATTATTATTACTTACAAAAAATCATAAAGTTTTCCAAACTAATATACAGATACACATCATTTATTCATAAAATTTTATTACAAATTATCTTAAATTTCAATTTTAAATAAAACTAAAACAAAATTATATTATTATTATTTTTTTTACCTTCAATCAATTCATATACTGCATCATATATATTCACCATCTCAATCGTTTCTTCGAAGAGGAGAGATCCACAGAAGATCCATTCTTTTACTTCCTCTTGGAAGAAGGTTCTTCAAGATCGTTCGATGTCCATTTCCTTGTTATGTTTCAGAGGGCAGCACAGCCGAAAAACGCCCGAAGCGCCAATTTCTCCGGTAACCAACTCTAGGTCACGGCCGTTTTTGCACAAACACACGTGTAATCTCGCAAAGCATGGCCCGTGTGCACGAAAGGCACGACACCTTCGATTCGAGTCTCCTCTGCTGGTTGGGCACCTATCTTCATCGTCTCCCCACCTGTTTCTCTCTTCCGGTACTTCATTCGGCCTCGCTATATATATATAGCCAGAATCCTTGCTGGATATATATGACAGTGTGTTCCTGGCCATCGAGTCGAGCTGATCGAGAAAAGACAAGGAAAAGGCTGGCCCACAATGAAGCTGAGAATCTTTGTAAGAAGCAAAGGACATTTGTGTTTTGGATTTTGGATTTTGGATTTTGGATGATGAATCTGCGATGACAGGATTGAGTTCTCTTCTTTGTGATATTTTTAGTGAATTTTTAAGAGAATTAGATAGAGTGATAGAGTGTCTTGGATATGTTAGGATAAGAAAGATGGATGGGTTGGTTGAGTAATGAAATTGTGTTTTAATATTATTTGTTTTCTGTAATGAATCAATAATTAAGTCATTTAAAAGATAAACATTTTGTTGATATAGTTTGTTGTATTAGAAATGTTAAATCAATTGAATGAGTGACAAGGATAATTTTTGTATTATTAAATTAAGATAGAATTGAGAAAAATAAATTAAGTTAAATTATTGATATTATATTTTATTAACATAATAACTATTGATTATTATTATCAATTATAGATAGAGGATAAATTTAATTGTCCTTTGATTAAAATCCTCTCACACAAATTTATATGTATAATTATTATATAAAGACAGATAATAAATCTTTATATTTCAACTTTTTCCAGGAATTTTTTTAAATAACATTATGATTATTAAGCTCCAAGTTTATTAATTGTTATTTGGAACATTAGGATATGATAGGAGAAAAGTAAAAAAAAGAATATATCTCTTTATTACTCATCTTTTAGTTTTTACTCATGAAACTTCAATTTACAGATGAGGTACTTGATCCTCGCGGCAATATTAACCGTCACGCTTGCTACGTTTGGTAAGGAGCAGTAAGTACACATCTATTTAGCAATTAGGAACGTTAACCATTATTCGAAGCTCATTATTGTAACAATATTAATAACCACGATACATATGTCTAACCAACTTTCTAGCGTGCATATTAGAATCCACGTGCCAGAGATAATTCAACACGAGGAAAAGAAGGTGATAAAATACAAAGATCATGGTGGACACGATCATGGAGGTGGAGGAGGTGGGGGAGGAGGAGGTGATACAATAATAATTACATCACCTGGAGGTGATGGTCATGGAGGAGGATTTGGAGGAGGACATGGAGGCGGATTTGGTGGAGGACACGGAGGCGGATTTGGTGGAGGACATGGAGGCGGATTTGGAGGAGGACATGGAGGCGGAT